TCTCCCCAGGGGTTTTTTTTTTTTTTTTTTTTTTTTTTTTTTTTTTTTTCCTAAGAGCATCATATGGGAGGGTTTATTTATTCGAAAGAGAAACAAGCATTCAAAAAAGAAAGAGAAATATAGGCTAGAATCGAGAGAGATTGGAAAGCTGAGATGGTGAAAGTACGCAGGAGAGAATATGGGAGAAAAAAGGGATGGCATCCTTGTAAATAAATATGAAAATAAAAACTTATTATTTAGTATGTTTGTTTGAGAAAGTTGAAAAGATAATTGTCAAGAGATTAATGTACCATCTATAAAAGAGTCTGTACAGTATTGTTTTTTGAACTATATTATATAAAAAGTAAGGTGTTCATTGGTTTTTAACTGACAGTTTCAGTCGGTTTTAAAACTGAACTGACAATGTCAGTTTTTAAAAATTTAAAATCTAAACCGAACCGAAAAATAATATTTTCGGTCGGTTAATCAACCGATTTTTATTAGTTTTTATCGGTCAGTTTCTTATTTAAAAATTTTTTTGTGAAGTATAATCTTCTTAAATTTTAACCATTCAAATATTTAATATTTAAATAGTTAAAATTAAAAATAAAAAATAGCTTAAAAAATAAAAATAAAAATAAAGCCTAAAAGAATGTATCCATAAGAACTAAGGCTTTATATCTAATCTCAATTAGAAAACTTGTTTATATTAAAGTCCATCATATTATTGAAGATGACGTTCAAAAAAAGTTAGACCTCTCTAACTTGTAAGTTGTGATGGATAAATGAAATACATAGCCCTTTATATAGAATAGATGAGGGAATACATTCTCATATCTTTTCAATGTGAGACTTTTAAAAGTCTGATGTGTTTAAATTTTCAAATACATTAGACTTTTAATAGTCCCACATTAAAAAGAGATGAGAATGTCTTCTCTCAATTATTTTATATAAAGGGCTATGTATTTAATTTCTCCATCACAACTTACAAGTTAGAGAATTCTAACTTATTTCAAACGTTCATCTTCAATAATATAATGGACTTATATTCACCATCTACAAGATTAGAGGTTTGAATATATGGATAATAAATTTTTTAAAATTGGTCAGTCGGTTCGGATAATCGATTACTTCAGCTGGTAAATTGAAATTGAACCACCCATAAGTCATGGACGGTCGATTAACCGACCGAATTAGTCAGTTTGCTAACGTGGAACTGAATTTTTGATTTTTTTCGATCAATTTGACGGTTCAGTATCGGTCGGTTTTAGTTTTTTGGTTTTTTTGAACACTCCTAATAAAAGTGATGAAATTGAAATGGAAAGTAACAATAATGAAAGAATCAAGATGCATGTCCGAAATAATTAGAGTGAGATAGGAAAATTAAACCTAAAAATTAATGACAAAAAAAAATGGGAGTGGATATTATTCTAGGTGTTGGATGATTGGTGGGTACAACTTTTTTGTCTGATCCAATTAGAAGGCATAAATCACGGAGATTTTTGTTTTTTCAGCTTTTAAGATTCCTATTGCCCAATAATTATTTCCTGACATATAGAGTAGTTAAATTGCTTCCATTTGGGATTAGTTTGATTGGATCTTTGAAGTTGAGAAGATCCGGCCCTCGTAGCACCATGATTATTGATGCAAAATGGCTCATCTCATTTTAAGAAATTTTTTGTACTGAAATATGGTACATTGACATTAAGAGCTCTTCTTTAATGTCCAATCAGAAAAGCTCTTTTCCCCTTCTTCGATTGCCTCGCATCATGGTTGCTTAGTCTTTCCTTTAGCCTTTTTCCCTCAAAAAAAATTTTTTTTTTAATATGAAGGAATGTCCGCATAAAGATGCATATGCTTTCAGTCACTTATTATACAAATAAATATAATTTTAGGGCATAATTTTAAGAGAAGATAACACAGCTAACTTTGGGGGTAGATTTTATTGTCGGACTTGTTTTGAGCTGATGCTGAGCGGATGGGAAATAAAGGCCGGGCTAATTTTCACCCTGTATGACGCTGAACTGATCTTCTAGATAGCCCAAAGTTTAGCTGGACTGATCTATTACCAAGCCCAGTGAACCGCCAAAAAACTAGGGAAGAGAAGACAAATATCAATCTTAACTTTTACTTTTTATTTTTAATTAAATAATTAATTAGTTAAAAGAATATTTATCAAATTCAGACACGTTATCAGTAACTTCAGAAATTTTCTCAAAAGATTAAACCGGACTCATCCCAAAGTGGGCCCAGTAAGTGGTCCAAAAAGCCCAGTAAAACGACATCATCGCCTATCATCCATATTTTCGATTTTTCCATTGTTTTTGCAATATGCCAAAATTCGAGGTAGAGCCCAAGAGTAACCCAGGGATTAAACCTCACCGTGTTCAGTTTCGCTAGCATTTGCTGGGAAATACTCGAGTACAGTGATGGAAAGGGCTGACCACACAACTTCACTCTCGACTATTGAGCATAAGAACACATTTCCCTCGCCAAGCATCTGGGTAAATGGTTTTTTTTTTTTTTTTTTTTTATTCAAATTTTCAATTCGAGTTAAGATGTAACATTTTCTGAAAACTTTTAATTGTAATAGAAAAAATTAAATGTGATATTTTTTTAGAGTTTTTGACTGTAAAAACTTAAAACTGAAAACTCGAATCGGTGAAATGAACGAAATTATAGTAAATACAGCAAACGCAAATCAACATACATAGATGCTGATTAATGTCATTAGCTTCCATAAAAGCAGACAAGAGTTTCCAAAAACCATAGGAAACAGAAGGGTAGCAAAAAGAGCCATAATTCTCCCCTAAAACATGTCTCTGTCATTATTGGAAAAGAAAGTGATCCCCTTTCCAGGTATTTGCACATGAGAAAGAAATATCCACTTGATATCAATTTTCATGATCTGAATTTAAGAAGAAAATTAAATTTAGAAAAAGGAGATAAAGACAAAACTCTCATCTTTTAAGAAGAAGCCTTGGGTGCTTTGTCTGGTAGGATATTATCTGGAAGAACAAGCTCTGGGGGAGTTTCACGAACAACGCCCAACATGGAGTCATACTCCTCATCTCGATGAGCAAACTTCTTCCGGAGAACCTTCTCAAACTCTATCTCATCAAAAGGTTTTGCATTTTCAGCTGCATGGACTTGTGCAAGGTTGGAATAATTGGTGGCCGACTGGGAAACGAAGGCCATCTCCTCCTCAGTGAGTTTCCTCAGGAATTTTGCTGGGTTACCTCCCCATACCTGTCATATACAACCAAATATATCCGTAGGATATTAATCAGATTAGAATCTCTTCATCTGTTCAAATCAACAATCAAACCCCTTTTGTTTGGCTTCTAAAGAAGAGCTATTGGTGTTAATAGACCCCTTAAAAAGTCGAGCAAGCACTGATGTTGTAAAATATAGACAGAGATACCTCTCCAAAGGGGATCCTGGTATTCTGTCGCACAAGAGCTCCAGCAGCAACCATGGCATTCTTCTCAACAACAACACCATCAAGAAGTGTAGCCCCCATGCCAACAAAGGCCTCATCCTCAACAGTGCAGCCGTGCAAAACAGCACTGTGACCTGCCTAGTTCACAATAAGCCAATCAGAGTCCTAAAAGAACAAAACAAGAAAAACCAGCAGGTCCATTGAAAGATCAAAGATGTATAATTATCAACATATTACTTACCTACAGTAACGTTGTCACCAATAATAGTTGGTAACACCTTACCACTTAAATTAGATTTTGCCACATGCACAAGGGAGTTATCCTGTATGTTAGTTCCAGCCCCAATACTTATGCCGTTGACGTCACCTATGCACAATGAGTTTATAAGATTAATAACATACTTTACAAAACTCTTCAGGAATAAAACTACAGCTCATCTCTAGCCTAAATATACGTATAATATATCTCTCATGTACATTTTGTTAGGGGAAGCAAAATGGAAATTGCTGATTTTGACGAAAAGAGAGCATAACTGTAACATAAAGCACCAAATTTCTAAACGACCCTCAAATTCTTCAGAAAGAAAAGGTTTTATACTTTGGTAATAGACTCTGATCGCTGGTAATAGATGTTTACAAACTAACATAGAATGAAATAAACATGTACATCATTCCAAAGACATCCTCAAGAAGTTATTACCTCTCAGAACACATCCATACCAAATAGATGATCCTCGTCCCACTTGAACATCCCCAATGATAGACGCACTTGGGGCCACAAATGCATCCTTATCAACAACTGGAGCTTTATCAAATATGTTCATCAGAGTCCGGTGCCTAGACACTATAAGTACAGAAAACAATAACATTAGTACCGTGTGGTTCACACGGAAGAAAACAAGCAAAACTACATGAACAGCAACCGAAAGCCTAAGTATTCAACACAAGGAACAAATATGTAAGCGTCACAAATGATGAAATTTGGAATGAATTTTTTATTATTATTATTATTTGTATAATCGGTATACACACTTATATAATACACGGCTAGGAGCTAAATAATAACTAAATGAGAACAACCTATCTACAAATATCTCTAACCAGAAAATATACAGCTCACCAAATCCCTAAAAATCAGGGATCACACAATCACATAAAAATCACTTCCTATTATTAACCGTATCTCACAAAACTCCCCCTCAAGCTGGTGAATGGATATCTTCCATTCCAAGCTTGCTGATAATATTCTGGAAGACAGTACTCGGCAGTCCCTTTGTAAGTACATCAGCTAACTGGTCTTTGGTTGAAGCAAATGGAGTACAGATTAAGCCGCTTTCCAACTTCTCCTTTATAAAGTGTCGATCAACTTCAATATGTTTTGTTCGATCATGTTCTACTGGATTATGTGCAATGCTTATGGCCGACTTGTTATCACAATACAATTTCATTGGTCCTTCCCACTTTACTCGCAGATCATCCATTATTATTTTGATCCACAATAGTTCACAAATTCCAAGCGCTATTGACTTGAATTCTGACTCCGCACTTGATCTTGCCACCACACTTTGTTTTTTACTCCTCCATGTCACAAGATTGCCACCTAGAAACGTGCAATAACCCAAAGTTGACCTTCTGTCAACTAAAGAACCTGCATAATCTGCATCAGCGTAGGTTTCTAGTGTCACGCTTTCTCCTTTCTTGAACAGAATTCCTCTCCCAAGATTACCCTTCAAATATTGTAGAATCATTTGTACAGCCTTGAGATGCATTTCTTTGGGATTGTGCATAAACTGACTAACAACGCTCACAGCAAAGGCAATATCTGTCTCGTATGTGCCAAATAAATTAATCTCCCAACAAGTCTCTGATAAGAACTTCTGTCTACCACGGTGTCTTCTTGAGCATCACATAACCCATGGTTGAACTCGATCGGTGTGTTAATTGTCTTACACCCTAGCATTCCAGTCTCCTTCAATAAATCTAATACATACTTTTGTTGTGATATAAATATTCCTTGTTTTGAATGCACTACTTCAATACCTATAAAATATTTTAACCTTCCAAGTTCTTTGATATCAAATTCCTTTTCCAGACACTTCTTTAAGCTTCGCATTCCTTCTACATCATTGCTTGTCACTATAATATCATCTACATATACCAATAATGCTGTCAATTTCCCTAACTTCTAGTGCTTCACAAATAGGGTGTGATCTCCTTGACTCTGTTTATATCCCAACGCTATCATCACTTCTGTAAATCTCCCGAACCATGCCCTCGGTGACTATTTGAGCCTATATAGAGCCTTTTTCAACTTGCACACCAATCCTTCTTTGGATTCAAGCCCTGAAGGAACTTCCATGTAAATTTCCTCTTCGAGATCACCATGTAAAAAAGCATTTTTAACATCAAACTGTTGCAAGCTCCATTCAAAATTAGCGGCCAATGACAGAAGAACCTGTACCGTGTTCATTTTTGCAACTAGGGAAAAAGTTTCAAGGTAATCTATACCATAGGTTTGAGTGTAGCCTTTGGCAACCAACCTTGCCTTATACCTCTCCAAGGAACCATCTGACTTATACTTAACAATGAAAACCCACCTGCATCCTACTAACTTCTTTCCATCAGGTAACCTGACCAAGTCCCATGTTTTATTCTTCTCTAGAGCTTCCATCTCCACTTTCATAGCATTCTCCCACTTCTCATTTCCTAATGCCTCGGATAGGTTTCTGGGAATGGGAATTGTTTGTAGGCTACTTAGGAAGGCTCTATGACTCGGGGATAGGTTTTTATAGGACATGAACAAGTATAATAGATGGTTTGTGCAAGTTCTGGTTCCTTTTCTAAGGGCAATTGGTAGGTCATAGTCATTTGGTTCAACAGATTCCTTAGGACCCGATGACTGTGTGGTGGTCTCGGCAAGGCTTGGTGGTGGTGTGGCTGTTTTGGTAGGTTGGTGATTGTGTAGTGGTTTCTGCAGCATAGACGGGTGAGGAAACAACATCTCGAATAGGTGATTAAGCATGCATAGGTTGGGAGATTTCCTTTTGCTTCCTGGAATAAACCTATAATGACCGAGTAGTGTTTTGAGCTAGTACTGACTTTACAGATGTAGGCTGGACAGGAACAGGAATTGATTCAATTGACTTAGTAGATGGCTACTGAACAGACTCAGAATAGTGGATTGAGATTGACTCGGAATATTAAGAAGTAACAAGTCTCTTTCCCTATCTTCACTCAAATTCTCCCCCTGAAGATGGGAATGCGAAAAATATGACTCACTTTCATTGAAGGTGGAATCAGCATAAACAAAGAACTTTCTTGTGGGCGGATTAAAACATTTGTACCCTTTGAGTGGATAAATATCCAATGAAAAAACACTTGAAAGCACGTGGATCAAGTTTTCCCCTGTTTTGATAGTGAATAGGAACAAAGGCTACACTTCCAAAAATTCTTGGAACAAGATTGTTAGAGACACAGAAAATCGGAAAGAATTTTGTGAGAGTTTCCATGGGACTTTTAAAGTCAAGAATTTTTGTTGGTAACCTGTTTATGAGATGGGCAGCAATTAAGACGACTTCTCCCCAATATTGTTTTGGGACATTTTTATGAAATAGAGATTCTCTTGTGATAGCAAGAAGATGGCCGTTCGGCTACTCCATTTTGTTGAGGCGTGCTAACACAAGAGGACTCATGAAAAATTCCCTGTTTTTGAAAAAAATGGGGAAAGAAATTGGTTAAAATAGTCCCTGGCATTGTCGGATCGAAAACGTTTAATTCCCATGTCAAATTGAGTCTTGATCATATTATAGACATTGGAAAACATTGTACTAACATCAGATTTATTTTTCAGAAGGTATATGTACGTCACACGAGTATAGTCATCAATAAATGTTACAAACCACTTAGCTCCAGAAATATTAGCAACCGTGGATGGTCCCCAAATATCACTATGGATAAGAGTGAAGGAACAAACGTTTTTGTACTACTTATTGGAAAAGAAGCACACTTGTGCTAAGCAAGTTCACAATCACTACGATGAAAATTCTCAACAACTGACCCTTTGAATAACGAAGGAAACATAAGCATAAGAACACTAAATGATGGATGACCTAGACGACGATGATAAAGCCAAACCTTGTCTTTATTAGAAATAACTAACTCAAAAAGGAATAAAATGGGTAGGGAGCTCTCAACTCTAGTACGACCATTTTGTTCTTCCAGATAGTAAAGTCCATCTCTTTCACTAGCATGTCCAATTACCCTCTTCGTGCCATGTTCCTAAAACTCACAATGAGAAGGATAAAACGTCACACTGCAATTTGAATCTTTGGTGAGTTTTTGGATTGAAACAAGATTTATAAACAATTTGGGAACATGAAGGACATTTTACAGTGTGAGTTGTTTATAAAAACATCTCCTTGTCCGGCTACAATGGTAACAGAACCATCTACTATGGTTATTTTCCTATGACTAGAGCAAGGGATATATGAGATGAAATTTTTGGACGAGCAAGTCATATGGTCGGTGGCACTGGAATCAATTATCCATGTGTTTGGAGAAACTATATCCAAGACATTAGCAATACAAGAGGAAGAAGATATACCTGAAAATGCTAATGAACATGTACCTACCGAGGATGGTTTGTCAAGAGATCTCAAGAAATTCCTCCACTTCTCAATTTCTTCTTTATTAAATTCAGGGGTTGGATTCTGTGGTGGTCCTTCACTGCTTGAATGAGTGCTGACAATATGAGCTTGTTCCCGTTCATTTATGTTCTTGTCTGCAAAATTTATGTTCATGTGTGGTGGTTTTCCATTGAGTTTCCAGCACATTTCCTTAGTGTGACAATGCTTCTTGCAATATGTACACCATAAGGAGTCCTTGTTAAATGGTCTTGATTCAAAAGCCCGCCTCGGTTCTTCATTCACACGTTATTTCGAACCAGCTTTGCATTTGCAGCCTTTGACACCAACGCAGAACTTTCCATTATGTGTGTATCAATCATGACACCTCTTCAACCTTCTTCAGCAAGAACGATTGCAATTGCCTCATTTAATGATGACAGATCCTCCTTTTCGAGTATATGTACTCGGACTGCATCAAATTTCACATTCAATCCTACAAGAAAATCGTAAATCCATCCTTTTTCAACGAATCTCTTAAGAATGGTTGCATCATCGTTGCACTTTATTTGAATGCACTGATAGTGATCCATCTCTTGCCAAAGACCCTTCAAGAGATTAGAATACTCAGTAACTGACCGATTTCCCTGCTTTGTGGCTGAGATCTTGATCTTGATTTCATAAATATGTGCAGCATCATTCACTTTAGAATAAGTTTGTTTGATAGACTCCCATATCTCCTCTGTTGTGCCCAGACACATACAAGTGTCACTGATGTCTGGCTGCATAGAATTCGACAACCAGGACATTACTAGGGAGTCTTGTTCGTCCCAAGCATCAAATTTAGGATCCCCTGATTTGGGACCAGTACCGAGTAGGTGACTCAGTTTGCCTCTTCCCTTCAAACACATGCGAACCAATTAAGACCACTTCAGATAATTCTTTCCATTAAGCATGTACGCTGCTTGAATATTCTGCAAATCCCCTGTTGACTGATGGTTGTTCTCAGTCAGAGAGGACGCAGGCACCTCTGTTGATTTGCTGGTCACTTCCGACATGACTTTTGGATAGAAAGGTCATGAATTTCAAGGGTGATAAAGAAGGGGAACCACAGAATCAAGAATCAAACTCGCGAAATAAGAATTAGCGAGAAAGGAAAGAAAAAAACATGACGCAAGCGAGCAGCAATTTGGACTGAAAAGAACGCTTGAATCAGAAACAACACTAGGTTGAGAAAAACTGAATACCCCAGGAAAAGCCCTAGGGCTCTGATACCATGTCACGAACGATGAAATTTGGAATGAATTTTTTATTATTATTATTTGTATAATTGGTATACACACTTATATGATACACGGCTAGGAGCTAAATAATAACTAAATCAGAACAACCTATCTACAAATATCTCTAACCAGAAAATATACAGCTCACTAAATCCCTAAAAATCTGGGATCACACAATCACATAAAAATCTCTTCCTATTATTAACCGTATCTCACAACAGTAAGGAAACGAAAATTTAAAAAAAAAATTAAAGACAGCTTCAACCCATGTATAACAATCAGGGCGGAGATGATGCAAGCAGAATGCGCGAAAAAAATACACAAAATAAGCAAGAAAAAGAATGCTGTAACCACTTTGGAACAAACATGAAACCAAGATTGTGAGTACAACGCTTATTGTTTGCTCCGAGACTCCACAACTAACAGAAGACATTGAAACAATTAGCTCTAATAAGACATTCAAATGCTTATGAATTCTAATGAAATTATTAAAAAACTAGAAACATGAAAAAATTCCATAATTCCCTAGGTTTTTCGAATGACTAAACTCGTTAAGGCAAAAAAAAAAAAAAAAAAAAAGGTTTTTGGAGGACATTCGTTCATGCTAAAGAACCATTTTTTTTTTTATCAAAATCAACAATCTCTCTCCGACACATACTACTCTTAAACGTTCAAGTAAAACCTTTCGCATTTAGATTCTTCTTACTGCTATACAAAATCCCACACCAGGAGACCGAAGAGGAGTTAAATCACTCATCTCCAATAGTATAATCTCGACTCTCCCACACAGAACTTCCAAGAGAATTCACATTCACTCGTTTGGCTTTAATAAATATATCAAAAGCAAGGTACTTTCAAATTACTCAACTCAAAACTGATAATCAAATTATCTGAACATATAGCCACATTCGTCGAGAAATCGATTCAGCCCAAACTCCATTTCTGAAAAATTGAATTGGCATATCATCAAAAGAAAATGCGAGCGACGCATACAACAAAAGCATTTGCAAAAAAAACCTTCATCTGATAAGCTAATGGACTAAACAAAACAGGCGAGAAAATCAAAGTTTTGGAAACATAAGAAGAAGAAGATTAGGGATTAAAGCGGGATCTAGGGCAAAAGAAAAGGGAAACGACGCTTACGCTGCTCTTGGAAGTAGTAGTTTCCTTGGAGGCGACAACCGAGGCGATCAATGGCCTGGCCGGTCTCCCGAATCCAAAATCCAACGGTGTAAATTGCTTTCCCTAGAGTTCCCATCTCCTGATCTTGCTCTTCTTCTTCTAAAAATTTTCTGGCTCTTGAACACTTAGAAAGACGGACTTCTTAGCAGGCAGGGTGGAGAGAGAGAGAGAGAACAAATGGGTGTAGTGGTAGCCGGGAGAAAATTTGATAAAAAAGACCGGAGCAAAACAGCAATTGAGAATGTAGACCGTTTTTTTTATAACAAAAAAATTTTGATTATATCTTACGTGTCAAAAAATGGGTTCTATTTAGTCTATGTACATGGGTCATTTCAAAAAAACTCTCCCTCACAAACTGATCTCACGACCGACCGACCCTCACCTCCCTCACAAACCGACCGACCCTCACGACCAACTCTCATGTCGTTTTTTCTCTCCGATCTCTCACCGACCCTCACGACCGACTCTCACCACCAAGTTCCTCTCACCGGTTTCTCTCTTTGATCTCTCTCGCCGACTTTCTCTCGTCGGTCGATCCTCTCTCTCCGATATCTCTTGCCGACTCTCTCGCCGACTCTCTCGTCGACCGACCCTCTCCGATCTCTCTTGCCGACTTTCTTGCGTCAGCCGACCCTTTCTCGCCGATGAAACCGACCCTCTCTCGCCGACGACAGACCATCCTCACCAAAAACCGACCCCCCTTCACCAAAAACCGACCACCCTTCACCAAAAACCGACCACCCTTCTCACTAAAAACCGACCCCGACCACCCTTCTTACTAAAAACCAACCAAAAACCGACCACCCTCCCTCACCAAAAACCGACCAAAAACCGGCGACTTCCACGACTGAAATGACATCACAAAACAACTCTTCTTCCTCAACTAAGACCGACCACCCTTCTCACTAAAAACCGACCCCGACCACCCTTCTTACTAAAAACCGACCCCGACCACCCTTCTTACTAAAAACCAACCAAAAACTGACCACCCTCCCTCACCAAAAACTGACCAAAAACCGGCGACTTCCACGACTGAAATGACATCACAAAACAACTCTTCGTCCTCAACTAAGACTGCCATTTCCCGAACCCCTATTGACGAGGCAACAGAATATGCTCAGGTAACATTAAGGTTTTATTCTCTGATTTAAAATTAAGGTTTTATTCTTGTTTTACTTTTTTTTTTTGCAAAAATGGTTTTATTCTTGTTTTACTTTTTTTTATACATTTTTACAAGAATAAAAACTTAATATAAGAAAACAAGAATTGCATACATTAGTGTGTGGTTTGTTCGTAGTCGGTTCTAGGTCGGTTTTAAGTCGGTTCTTAGTCGGTTTTAGGATTGGGTCGGTTAGGGGTCGGTTCGGGTCGATTCTAGCTTGGGTCCATTCTTGGTCGGTTCTATTCGGTTTGGTCAGTTCTATGTCGTTCCGTCGGTTCTAGTTCGTGCACTGTCATTTCTAGTTAGTTATAGGTCGGTTCGGTATGGTTTGCTCGGTTCTAGGTCAGTTCGGGCATGTAATAAGAACAGACCACGAACAGACCAAGAACGAGACCACGAACCGACCATGTATAATAACAGACCAAGAACAGACCAAGAACCAATCATGTATAAGAACAGACCATGTTATAAGAATAGACCAAGAACAAACCTTTTTTTGTAAACCTAGTAGATCTTCATCATATCGGACAATTTAATCCGGTCTTTTATGATGTAAAATTACTAATTTTAATGGATTTTTAACATTTTTAACTACATTTTCATCTTAAAAACATATGAACAACAACGAAAAATACCATAAGAGATATGGAAAAAGAAAGACTTAGTAGCTATTCTTCAAACTTCGTTTTGGACGAGAATAAAATGCGGAATGGGCAAGATAATAATGTTAATGAGGTTGTGCGATGACGAGGACTTGAGAAGATGAGAGGGGAAATGGAAGGCGGCTAGGACAAGAAAATGACGCGAAATGGAAGAGGAGAAAGAGAAAGAAAACACTAAAAACATAATTAATGACGTGAAATAGCTGATGTGGAAGTTTACCTATTTACTCAATTTATTTTTTTGTGGTTTATTTGCTTAAAAATACTTTTTACTTAGTCTATTTATCCAACAAGCCCGTCGAAGATCCCGAACCTTTGGGAGGGCAAATTGGGGTTTTCACTATCTTGAATAATGTAAAATTACCATAAAGCCCTTTCACTCTGTTTAATTGACGGTCAAACATTGAAAATGCGCCTTTTGGGAGCCAAAGCGTGCGTTTTGATGCCTCCGGAACAGCAAAGGTTGGTATTTTCCTGGGTAGTCCGAAGTTGTTTGGGAACTGGAAAAAAGAAAATTTTGAATAAATTTTCCTATCAATAAACCTACATAAAACATCGTTCTTTGACCTAAAAATCGGAAAGGATAAACAATTTGTGGCTTTTCATCATCGAAGTCTCTAATCGGATCCGAATAGTTCTTTGGCCCTAATTTTCTGGTAAGCTCTCTAGTTCTTCAAATTTGTTTACCGTAAATTTATTTTTCTTCGGCGACTTAGACCGATCGTCTCTATTTGTTTTATTGAAACCCTAGTTTTTTTTGTTGATCAAACATTTGTTTAATTGCGGAAATATTTTCCCTCGAGGTCTAAGTAATCTTTGGTTTCTATTTTTAGTTTCTTGAATGTTCGAAGTTTGAACGTTGTATGTAAGATTGAAGATGAAATGTCTAGTCTTCAAGAAAATGCGAAAAAAAACTAACTTTTGATTGCTTTGGTTTTCGGATTTTTGTGAGGTTAATTGAAATTAAAAGAAACATATCTTACTCAAGCTCAAGTATGTCGGTGAATGATGGGTGGTTAGTTTCTTTTCTTTTTCTTTTTTTTTTTCAAGTTTTAGAAAAGAGAAAAAGATAGAATGAGGAATATCTACTGGTCTAGAATGTCTTTCCAACTATATTCTCAGTTCCTTAGCAACCAAACATTGCACAAACATATCTATAATTTAACCACGTTCCTTTGTTTTGTGTAGGCAGAGGCCTATTGGAGAATAACATACTTCATGGAAGGAGTTGGTGGCGATGCTGCTTCTGATGCAGTGCCTCTTGCCAAGTGGAGAAACGACTTTACGAGGGCATTTCAGTACTACTTGGATCGGTCCACGCCCCACCCGGTGCAGAGGTGGCTTGGGACGCTTGCTGCGGCAGCCATTTATATTCTGCGAGTGTACTATGCTCAAGGGTTTTACATTGTCTCCTATGGCCTTGGAATCTACATATTGAATTTGTTGATTGGATTTTTGTCTCCAAAGGTTGATCCAGAGCTTGAGGCCTTGGATGGGGCTTCATTGCCGACGAAAGGCTCCGACGAGTTTAAGCCCTTCATTCGCCGCCTTCCTGAGTTTAAGTTTTGGTAACTAGGAACTCCTCTTGCTAAAGATTAGTTATGTGAACTATTTTTCATCATTTATTGCATAAAACTAATAATACAAACTGTTTAAGAATTTTGTTTGGTAATGAGGATACAGCCTTATGTGATATGTGTGATCTCCTCCTGACTTGCTAGAATCTAATTTGTTCATGTCATGATGAGACACAATTTGGGCTTCTGATTTTTGTGGTTTCAGGTATGCCATTACAAAGGCTTTCTGCGTTGCCTTTTTGATGACCTTCTTTTCTGTGTTTGACGTCCCTGTTTTTTGGCCCATACTTCTTTGCTATTGGATATTTTTATTTGTCCTCACCATGAAGCGCCAAATCGTGCACATGATTAAGTATAAATATGTTCCATTCAGCTTTGGAAAGCAGGTTAGTGCTTCAAAACACCCTCTAGTCAACCTCACTGTCTCCCACCGAACAATGAATTTTCAATTTTATGCTACATTTTCTTTTGTGAGGTCAGGGGAATCTAGCACTTGTTGAGATTGCTTTCCATCTGCCTGTTGGTAATCTGAGTGTAATTATTATGTAAATGCTTTCTTGATTGTTGGCAGAGGTATACAAGGAAGCACTCAGCTGCTAGTAGTAGTGGCACTAAGGACTGAAGTGCAGCGTTTTGAACTGACATCTATGGAGAAGAAAACAGGAGAAGTGCAGTGTTTCGAACTGTCTTTCAATTTGTTACTGACTACAAAACTCATGCTTCTTGTTCATAGTGTTGGAGTTACATAAGAATTCTAACTTGCATAAGTTGGGATGGTATTTTTGTGTACTGTGTAATTCTTCTGTCGTACCTGGAGTTGGTTGAATACTGTTGGATCGTGATTATCTCGCATCTTCGTTTACCACTCCATGGGGGTTGCGTGGTTGGTAAATGTGTTGGAGCTTAGAACTATTAGTTCGTGTGAACAAAAGGTGAAAACCTCTGTTTTTTTTTTTTTCCAACTCCTCGGGCTAAAATGTGGTGGGAATTATGTCCTGTTCTTACATAAGTCACATTGTTATATGCTGTTAATATGTAACCCCCCTTCTATGCGTAATATTTTACTTCATCTTCATGGCCTCCGCTAAAGTTTCAAGTGTTTACTCTTTGACCGCAGCTTTCTTATTTTTGGATTTACTTGATTTCCGTTCTTTTTTCTCTGATGGAAGTGAGTGGGTTTCCTTTTGTGGAGTTTTGTTTGGGAACGAAAAGTGGATGCAATAAACAATGCAAGTACTTGGTTTTGATACCACACGATTTGCCGAATGAAGCGAATAGTGTGATTCGTATCTAACTTGCTTGGTTATATCTGTATGGCGGGTGAAAAGAAAACAAAAGAAGGAAAACGAGTAATGTTGAAGGAAGAAACAACTCGCTAATGTTTCTTGTGATGATCAATCTTTGATTGTGGTTTAAGAATGATAAGATTTTTCAGTAGAACGTTGTCTCTGGAGAAATAGCTCAATCAATACTTGTAACAAGGTAACAAAGACTAAGTACTTGAATAAGCAGGATGTAAGAGTATATATAAAACTCTACTAGTGACGAAATCCAGCTTGACAAAAGAATGTTGTGGCCGTGGGACTAAGAGGGAAAGCACTTAGGCATGAGATGCCAGGTAGATGTCCAATCAAACACCGAATTGGTGTAACAACCCTCCAACAACTGAACACATAGAAAATCTCTATTTATGTAACAAAATACTTGACTTTTGCATACAGTCATATAAACAATCCAAATAACACGGAGGACTTGAATATTATAGTTGCAATGATCACGAAACATGGCCAGCTAATGTTTCAAGGTCTTCTCTTGCTTCCTAACCTCCCCAACCCAAAACAACAAATTTGGTCTGTCCCCTAAAACTTTTTAGGATTTAAAACCTTGCAATATTCCCCCAAGCCGCTAAGTCCCCCCCACAACAAATGAGTGGAAGAACCTTTGTTGTGATATTCTTCTTCTGGGCTTTCCTCACTATCATCACCCCAACTCTTGTTCACTTGTCCGAGATTGCCAAATTACAGAATCTAAATGGTTAGGCTGAATTTCACTTGCTTATCTTTTTCTTGGTCTTGCATGTTTTATTGAGTTTGTAATTCTTCCTTGATAAGTTATTACTGACATGATAATGATCTCATTTTGCTTCAAACTTTGCAGGCGAGAGAAGTAATGAAGAAATTAAGGCGAGAAGAATGATGGGTTATGGAGAGAAACGTCCAATAAAATCACCAAAAGTACACAAAAACAATACACAAACCCCGGCACCAGCTCCGGCTCCGGCTGTACAAACTCAGAGGAAGAGAAAAGCTTATCTTGGCAAGGTCTTCTCTGAATCAATGAGATTGGTGGTCAATAATACAAGACTCAAAGAGGCTTGAGCTTGAAAATATATCAAAATCATAGATTCTTTTTCTACATGCGATTCTTCTATAGGTACTATCGAAGCCGAATATAACAATTATCATCAGAAGAATAATGTAAGTGATGAGAAACGATCATGATTGTATATACATAAGTGTACCAATGAGATGCATGTTTATTTATTTTTTTATTTTTGTGAAGCTGTAAGTATCTGCATTTTCATGTCCTCATTTTGCTTAACAAGGGATGCTAATAGTCTTCAACATGAGAAGATGAACATAAACAAGACAAGGTATTTGCTAATCGTTGTGGTTTTTATAATTGGAAATTTATAACAAATAAATTTTTCTGACTATTCATGTTTAAGCTGGTTCTGTTTGTTTCTGGGCAAGTGGTTGAACGGCCCAAACCAAAACAGAGTTTTCAGGTCGTCTTATATTCTTAGCACTAAGCAATAAAATTTAAGTAAAATAATAGGTTGTTCCTTACTTTAAATAATCTAGTTGAAATTGTCTCAGATGGTAAAGATTTCACGAGACAATATCACATAGAAAAGAAATCGTTTGGTGGACCCTTTAGTACCTTTTTTTTTGTGCACGATATGCCAGTCCCTCTTGTATGCCAAATTCTGTTATTTGTTTATAACTAGTTGAAACACGCACGTAGCGCGGTATATTTTTTAAACACAAACATTTAGAAAAAAAATATTAATAAGAAAGGAAAATATTTAGGTGAGCACATATTTAAATAATTTTAAATGACAGTATTTTAGGGGGTAAAGTTTAATAAGACATAATTAGAAAACATAAGATTTAAAATGAAAAAAACAAAAACAAAAGGATCAAAATGCACGTTTTATATTAAGTAAAGATGTTTTAATAAGTTATGGTTATAAACATAAGATCTTTTTTATAAAAAAACAAATGAAACATTTTTTTTATATTTCATCATATGTTTCCTATTCAAAAACTCATTCACACTTAGTGAATGAAAGAAAAAATAAAAATTATTGCTAAAGACAATAGGAAGACAACAGTGGGAGAAAAAAAATAGGTAGGGAAAAAAAAGAGGGAGAAAAATATAAAAAATATCTAAAAATGAAAAAAGAGAAAGAAAAATGGAGAGAATAAAAAAAAAAATAGAGGCAAACATGTGCCCTCCGTAGAGGCCAAGCCTCTTTAGAAGCCAATTTTTTGGCTCTTTTTAAGGGCTCGTTTAGTTCGCTGATTCGAGTTTTTAATTTAAGTTGAAATGTAACTTTATGTGAGAGCTTTTTACTATAGTAAAAAAAATAGATGTGACTGTTTCTAAGAGTTTTTTACTGTAGTAAAACTCAAATTCTAAACTCAAATCGGAATGAACGCGTCTTAAGTATGTATACATGCTCTAGTGGCCTGATTGTATGCATGTCGTTTGGCCTTGATTTCAATGACTTTCTTGGTGTGAAGTCGTTTTCCTTTCCTTTATTATTTTGGATCTTTTTCTAATATTCTTTCTTTTTGGGAATACTAATATTTTTTATTTATCAGTCATCAGATCTATCTTAAATTTGATAAAAAATTAAATTAAATTAAAAAAATAATGCAGATCTAATGATTAATAAATAGAGAATACTAATTCTAAAAAAAGAACACTAGATAAACTTCTTTATTATTTTTTTTGTTTGAACAAAATGTGGGACAAAAGTTGACATTTTCTTGCCGAAATAGTACAAGTCATTTGTTAAAGTTTATGACCTGTAGGCAAATAAAAGCGTCATATATTTTTCAGACAAAATAAAATCGTCATATTTAACCAGGAAAAAAAAAATCTTAGATAGTGGGGTCCAAAAAGCTGAACTTAGAAATAAATAATAATTTACGTGATAAATGAATTATTTATCTTATAAATTGTTCATTTACGGCTAATAAAAATATTTTTTTTTCATATAAATTTTCTTTTTATAATTAATAAAAAGTTTTTTTTCACGTAAATAAAAAAATTTTAAAATTTTTTATTAAGTAAATTATTTTTTTTAATTATAAATAAATTATTTATTTACTATTTAAACTGTTATTTATTTTAAATAATTTTAAAATATATTATTTTTTTAATTTAGTTTAAAGACAATAACAGGGACTAAGCCAGGTGGCCCGTATTAGCAGCCGAAAAAAAATATTGGCCCATATACAGGCTTTAACGACCAGGGGCGAGGACTAAAAACACGACGTAAACGTTACAACAACGTAACAAGCAACGTCAAACTGTAAAACGAAAACAATAAAAATAAGAAATTTTAGAATCAACAGATTTGAAGAACAGCAACAACGCAGGAACTAAGCCAGGCCAGGTGATACAACCAAGACCTAAAATACGACAGAAATATGAGATTACGACAATAAGTTTAAAACTAAAATATAACGAATAAACGACAGCACGTGAAGAACCGCAATCTTCAAGTCTATTAATAGTGCATCATTATAACTGAAGTTTTTATAACCTAAAATACAACCAACAAAAAATAAATAAAAATAGGTGAAAATTTTTACATAGAGATTTAAAAAGAGTATATATTAAGTGGTAGTATGACTGTCTTAACGAAGATTGCACACTTAACTCTACGACAAAATATAGAGTTTGAATCCCCCATATGTACTTTTTTCTTTTTTTTAAAGAAGTATACGTTAATAGTATTTTAAGTGAAAATTTTATGTGTAATTATAAAAATATGTGAAAAATATTAAGATAACAATGTAAAAAATAAATAAATAAAGGAATTAAAACTTAAAAATAAAAGGAAAAATTGTAAAACACTTAAAGACTTATAGTTCTGAAAACTACTTAAGATGAACATAAATTATATAATAACAAAAGAAAAAATGAATTAAAACTTACAAACCAAAGAAAAAATAAAGCACCTAAAACTCATTGTTAAGAATTACCATATAATGAGCAACAATCAAATATCTACTTTTTAGTTTTACTTAGAATTAGGATTAGGATTCAACAAGTAAGAAAACAAAAGAAAGAAATTAGTTAAAAAAAAATAAAGCCCTGAAAAGAGAGAGGGGAAAAACATGCATCAAAATGGTGCGTAAATGACTATAGAAAATGAACATTATAATTTTCACCTACTATTTTTATGTTCATCATTTTTATTATTTGGATAAAATAAGATTTAGCATTAAAACTATGATAAAAAGTAAAAAAAGATAACATATGATGGTCCATAATCTAGGTTATCTACTAACAAATCGTTTTATTTATTTATTATTATTTCAAGTGTTTGAAAAGGGCCAAAACAATTCATTTTAGATGACTAAAAAAGGAATAGTAGAGCCATAATGGCTCTTTTATATGTGTAGGATAGTAATGGTCCATAAGGTGGCAAAAAATATGGGCAGAAACATATTTTTGAAAGTTTATTTTAGTAGGATAAATAGACAATTAGAAAGAAATTTGTGAGGATAATTTTTAATACACAGTATATTAGAGCACTACCGAAAGGAACATTTAAGTAGGATAACTTTTAGAAAAAAAAAATTATTGGGGTAAATGAAAGAAAGAAGTTAAAAAAAATGGTAAGTATGAAGAATATAAAATTTTGGGGAAGAAAATAAAAAGGAAAAAAAAAAAGAACATAAAAAGCTAGAAAAACACCAAAAGCAAAAAAAATAAAAAAAACCCCAAAGCTGTGTGTTGAAAGAAAATGATGAGACTAACATTTGGCACACCGTATATTAAAGTATTACCGAAAAGAAACATCTAAGTAAGATAAAAACTTTGAAAAAAAATTAATTGGGGTAAATAAAAAAATGGTAAGTATGAAGAATATAAGATTTTAGGAAAGAAAAAACATAAAAGGACAAAAAAAAAAAAAAACCACCAAACGGAAAAAAAAAAAAAAGAAGAGAAATTACCAAAGCTGTGGGTTTTGGACAAGCAAAACGCTACAGTGTTTGGCACTTCTACTCTTTTATATAGTAGTGATGATATCTCAGTACAAGCACTCCGCGCAAATAGCAACGAAAGTGTACTTATTTATGTAGGATAACATAACAAGAGCGTGTATTTCCAATTTTCTCAAACAAATTGGTCGAGATATTCCTCCACAGTGGTGTACTTGACATCCGGATAAAGCTCAGAAGCCTCAACTCCAAACGACGGCTCAATCTCAAAGTTGGTATGATCTCCCTTCACAAACGCCGAGTGGTTGATGCTTAACACCACATTGATTGGCATCGGAGACTCTGCACATTACAAAAAAAAAAAAAAACAAACCAATATAAATATATATATATATATATATATATTGGATTAAAACAACAAATAACTAAGATGTATACGACTCACTCACCTTGGATATTTTTGAGAAGTTGCTCCTCTGAAACGTAGACTTTCTCAAGAGTTTTGCCAATCTTCTTCTCCCACAGGGCAACGAGCTCATTGAACGAGTAAGTGTTCTTTGGAGGCCTAATATAGAGGATCTTGTTCAAGGTTCTTCGGTCCTCCACAGCTCTGATGGTGAATGTTCCAATGTCCTCTTCCTTGTTGAAAACCGCTGTAGTCCCAACACAAAAACAGAAAGGAAAACAACAATAACAATTGCAATTAGAATTTTGATATATTCCAAAAGTATACTTATTTAGAAGGAAAATAATACACATAACGTATAGTGATCATTGTCACTATCCTTTAATTACCAAGCGTAGAAGGAAAAGATCATGAAATCTAGCCGATCGAGCTACATAAATTTTTTTTTTTAGTGAGGCACTACGGAAAAAACACAGAGAATTTTTTTTATTATTAACTAAGATATAGTAATCATACATTCCAATTACTGAATGAGTCATGATTGTCAAAATTTTCCTTTAAATTAAATAGAAATATAACTGAAATTTTAAGAACAAATTTATGGATACAAATTTAGTTGTCTAAAATCTGGAAGTACACTAATGTGTAACCCCACAAATCATGAGTCTTCGAATAATTAATATTTAAACCTGTAATTGGTTAAAAATTAGTAAATAATGATAAAGAACAAGCATATAAAAATAAGATGATTTATATATATATATATGTATATGTTTAACATATATATGTGTATTGTACCCTTGGGATTTCCATCGCCATAGATGACTATTTTGTCTCTGGGGGGAGGAGGAGCAGTGAGTCCAGGCTGAGCCAATGTGGGAAGGAAATAGCCAGCGAAATAGTTAGACGACACGTAAGTGTACGGAATTCCTTCGGCCTCCACGACACGTCGGATCTGGGCCTTGACAGCGAATGCAGACTTTGCTGGCTCCACCGCGTGCACACGATCTACGTCGTTACCAAATTCTGATGGGAAGAATCTCTATAATATTGACAAAGGGATATGAGATCATGATCTTAATTAACGTGACATAATGTCAATGAATGGATTAAAAAAAAAAAAAAAGAGGACAAGAAAGTTGAATCATCCTTTTATTATTATTGTAATTAGTTAACGAGATTTTCTCTCTTAATATGATAAAAAATAAACTATCGATAATTTTTTATTTTTTAATTATTAAATGTATATTAAAAATTATTTATTTTGCATATTTTTTAATTTCATGTTATTTTGACTAAATTCAACCATTATAACTAATGTTACTATAAGAGAAGTCTACTAGAGGGGAAAAAAAGTGAATTGCTACATGTCGATTACAATTTCTAACTTGTTATATTATAAGGTCTCGTTCATTTCACCGATTTGAGTTTTCAGTTTTAAGTTTTTACAGTAAAAAACTCTCAGAAAATATTACATCTAACTTTTTTTATTACAGTGAAAAACTCTCAGAAAATATCACATCTCAACTCGAATCCGTGAAGTAAACGAAACCTAAATGTTAAAATTTAAGATTAATAAATTATATTTACATTCAAGTCTAGTTTTATAAGATAGTTTGTTCTTGATTGGTTTATTTTTTATTTTTTATTTTGATCCATTAGGGGGAAAAACTGTTTCAGATTGCGACATTTTAACTTCTTTTCAAAGGGAAAGACGTCATCATCTATCTAGAAAGTAGAAAGTGGAAACTAGAGGTTTTCATTGTTTTTGTATAGCTCATGTTGTTTGATCCCAAAAGAGCCACAATATAATTTCATCGGCAGTACCAAACATATGTTAGGCAAGCTTTCCTTTTCGCTCTATCTTTCAACATATGAATAAAATAACATCGATTCAATGGTAGGTTTAAGACTTTTACTCGCACTGAAATGGATCATCCTAATTATTGTAGATAAATATATACATAAATCGTACTCATTAAGCTACTCGATTTTATTTCTTCCTTATAGTCAAGAAAATTTGTAAATTTAGGCCTCATTCGCTTTGTAGATTTGAATTGAGATGTGATATTTTTTAAGAGTTTTTAACTGTAACATAAAATATTAGATGTGATATTTTATGAGAATTTTTAACTGTATAAATTTAGAATTAAAAACTCGAATCGGTGAAATGAACGAGGTCTTAAATTCTTCCGGTTCTTAAGTTTTAACGAAATCCAAGTGGACTAGGATCGATTTAAGAGCTAGCTTCAGGGGGTTTAAATCTGTCCCTTCCTGATCTCTCACAGAACAGTATTTTTTCTATGTATAGTATGTTACATGTATCATGTATGAATTAATTTGTCAAATTTTCACCCTTTAACTGAAAAATAAAGCCTTAAATGTAATTGCAGATCCAGATGTACAGTTTTCATCATATTCATATGTAAAGGTAATGACAAAACGACAATCATTATCTGCAAAATTAACATATCATTATATATATATATATATATATAAATAGGGGCAAATAACTAGATTTAGCAGTTGCCAAAGGTTATCATTCATAATACTTATACTAGATTTTTTTTGGTTGATCATCATACATTTATATACTAGATTGATCAGCCAGTAGAGCTGATTAAACTGTATTATAGTACCAAAAGGTCAAACACAGAAAAAAGAAAGAGTTTTGTTTGGAAGAGAGATCATAAACAATATCATATAGCATATACCTACCTTAACGTTACCAGCTTCTTTAATGGCGGAGATGATTTTGACCTGATCCGCGAGCTGAAAGTGGCCCACAGTCGATATCACCACGTCAACCTGCTTGATCGCCTTCACTAAACTCTCATGATCATAAAGATCTCCCTGCAAATATTTATACAAACAACAAATAAAAAAAAAAATTATAACTATTATGATGTCGTTCAAAAATAAAGAGAGAAAAGAAAAAGATTTTTTTTTTTTTTCATAAAATAGTACTAGATATACTTACGTAGAGCAAAGTGACACCCAAGTCTTTGAACTTCTCAATGAGTTTTCCCTTAACAGGGTCGTTGACCGTGGTCTCCCTGACCAGAGCAAATGTGGGGTGGCCGGCCTTGGCGCTCGCTTCAACTATGAACTTTCCGATGTAGCCGGTACCTCCGATGATCAGAATCTTGCTTTTTTCAGCCATTGGAATTTTAATTTGTCCGGAAATTTAAAGAAGCAAGGTGTTTCTTAGAACCAGATAATTTGTGATTAGTACAGGGAAATTAGAAGAAGGTGTGGTGTGTGTAAGTGTTTTCCCAGAGAAGCTAGAAGTTTGGAGGTCGTTTTATGGGATGAGAGGAAGCGTGTAGATTACCTTTTGTAACCTTATTATAGTTAATGTTAAATTAACGAGTTATTGTCCTTTTCCAGCAAAAAAAGCGAAGAGAGGAAAAAAAACAAAAAACAAAAAACAAAAAGATAGAGAGAGAGAGAGAGAGAGTTGCTATCCTTTCCTTTTCCTTTTTCTACTTCTTGTTTTTTTTCCCCTCATTTTCTAATGATGTTTAAACTAAAGGAGCGTTTCTATGGCATGGTAGGTATCATTGTAGTGCATGTTTATAAATTTTAGATTTGATCAAAAATCAAATTAAAATAAAAATTTCAAAAATATTGAAAATTAAATCTGTAGATAAATAAATTAATTTTTTATAACGTATATCTTAAAAATATTTAGGTCCCGTTTATTCATTAATTTGAGTTTAAAATTCGAGTTTTATTATAATAAAAAATTTTAAAAAAAAATCACATTTAATTTTTTTATTACAATAAAAAATTCTCACATAAAATTATATCTCAACTCAAATTAAAATTTTTAAGTTTAAATTACTGATAATGACGAAGGAAATGGTCAGTTGTCATCCTTGTGGTTTGGACTTCTGGAATATTCATTGCACTTTGACAAATACCATTAGATTAGGTGTTCCATTCCAGGGCTCTTCCATTTCATTTTTATATTATTTTTCTTTTCTTCTTCTTCTTTTTTTCAGTCGCTGATGACGTAATGCAAATGTGTCGCTTCATAGGGCGGCAAGTGTTGGTTGAACTTGAGTAGCTATTTGGAAAGTCGAAATCACCCCTATGTATCTTTCTCAACATTCGGGTTAGGTGAAGGGTAAACCCGTAAATAGAGGATTTTGTCCTTGGCAACTCAGCTAGTTATTTTAATTTTTGTTGATTAAAAACTTTAGGAGAGTATTAAAACTCCAAAGCTTAATTAGAAATTAGTGTAAAATTATCAGCAAGTAAATTAAACCCGCAACCATATCATAGAGTATTTGTACCAATAAATGGATATTTGTTCTGCTTCTTCTTCTTTAATGAGAATGACAATACTAAGATATGGCTCTACATGCTCAAGCAAATGCTACCGTTACAAGTGTAAGAGGATGTTTGGTTGGAAGATTCAAACTATGATTTGAATTATGATTCATGGTTCGTTATAATATTTTCTCTCACAAAAAATATACGTAAATCAAAAATAATTCTAATCACATGATTATAATTCATAAACTAAACGTTCCTTAAATCAGACTATAGTACTTAAGGCTTACTTATTCAGTGTATATCTTTTTAACGTAAAATTGACTTAATTTTTTTTTTATATGCACGGAATTGAACCCGCAACCCCATTTAAATCTCACCTCATTCAAACCCTCTCAATGCCACTAGACCAAGAGGTCTTAAGCGACTTAAATTTTGGTATTTCCTCTAACTCACTTTGTTATAATAAGTTCTTGCAGCGCAAAAAAAAAAAAAAAAAAAAAAAAAAAAAAAAACGGAGAGTAGTTTCATGGGTTTATCTCGTTTGGGGCCTTAACACACCACTCAATTGTCGCCATTGAACTGGATTGCTAGTAAATCCATAAGGGGGCAATGGCCCAGGATTACCCGGTGAAAAAATATATATGTATAATACATGTATTTGTATGTGTATAAATGTATATATAGAAGATACTTGATAAACTTTAATAATAATTAATTTTAGTTAATTAAAGAGTTTTATTTAAGTGTAGGCACTTGATGAATTTTTAAATTTGAGCTGTGTCCACTCTACATTCTTCTCATCTTTTCCTGTGAAAGCTCAATATTATTCTTACTTGCCCATTAAGAATGATACGATCATTTTCTTTGAAAGAAAGAAAGAGAGTGTGATATGGTCATTTCGTTTTCTTTGGTGAAAGAAGGATGTGATCATTGATAAATTTTCCTACTTTGTCTTTCGACTCTCATCGTGTCATCCTTTTTTTTTTTTTTTTTTTTTTTTTTTTTTCATCTCTGCTTTATAATGAAAGTTACTATTGCCTGCATAGGGTTAAATTAACTTTTTCAGGCAATAAATGATCACAAAAAAAAACCTCGCGTTAATTACGCTCCGTGGGGACACAAATCTTATCCCTTTGATTATGAAAACGACAAGCTCAACTACTTTTTGTAATGGATTTTTTTCGCAAGCTCATCAATTGGAAGTCAGTCGGTGTCCTCGTCAACATCGACACCGACACCGACACCGTCACCCACTAATGACAGTATAAATTTTGGCGCAATATCGGTGCGCTCGCACAAAAAGTATTGACTCCAAGATTAGCCAAAAAAGTAATCGACTCCAAGACGGTATAAAGACAATTCATCATAGTTTAGAACAAAATCCGAATGCTTATTCATTGACCAAACACAAAGCTACACCTATCCACCCCATAATTAATAAATAAAATAAACAAATGAAGGAAGCAACAATTATGAATAACGGTACCCATAAAATGTGTATTTACAAATCAATACCACACTTAACTTTGAAATAAAAGTAACGATCACGTACATAACAAATATACACCTCTTACGATACCGCGGAAGCTTAAATCTTAGTCAGCTTAAAAAGCATTAATATAACTAAACTCTATAGGCTTTTACATACCATACAAACATACGTTAAGCTAGCACACCGGTCCATCATACTATATATATATATATATATATGTATATGTATATGTATATATAACCCCTGCTAACCCATAAAGGAAAATCATGACGGATCAGTGGGGAGATTCATGAGTTAATTAGTAGCAATTTCGTCACGAGCCTGTGGTTTGGAAGAGGCCAAGCTGGCTACGTGGAATTGTGAAACGTATTTGTTGGGAGCGCCTTCAATCACCGGTGGCTCGTTTAGAAATGCCCAGTTGCTCCTAGTCCACCTGCACACAACCACCCAACATTAAGCACGATCATATATATATATATATATATATATATATATATATACACACACACACCAACAATTAATCATATATATACACACACACACACACACACACATATATCATGAAACAATTAATTAATTATCGGCCTAGGAAATTACCAGCCATCTTTCTTGACGAGTTTGTCGATGCTTGTCTCATGAGTAGGATCCACGTCCACCAAATTACCAATATCCTCCTTCTTTTGCAGAGGGAAGGTGCTTGATTTCTGAAACTTCCTCCCAGAGTACTCCTCAACTTGGCCAATTTCCTGTGACACACATATGCATGTGACCAAATATCATTTTTCATAGGGAACATAATATCAATTGTTTTAAGAACATCTTCTAGCGCATAATTTTGTATTCACAAAGAAAACAAATTGTAAGAAGAGAGATTAACATATTGTTAAAAAAAAAAAAAAAAAAGGTTGTCCTTGATTATTTTTTTAAGGAAATTACCTCGTGATTTTTGGCGTCTGAGAGGCTAGTAATTTCTTTAAGATGTTCTTCTACTGTTTTCTGCTTTGATCTCCAAAAAGTTTCAATCTCCTCTTTGGTGAGTGACCCATTTCGCTTGTATGCACCTGGATATTCACGATCCACTCACTAAAATCAGTATTACTAATTTTCCCAAAGAACAAAAAAAATAATTGAAGAAAACATATGCAACATATATTTTGTAGCTAGTCAAGCTCCCTAGTAACGTACGATTTAATTACCTGATTTAGAACTGAGGACTGGAGAGTCCCATCCTGACATTAGAGAACCCATTTGCTGAACTATTTTTTATTTCTCTCTCTCTCTCTTCTTTTTCTTGAAGCTGCGACGTTTAACTTAACAAAGGACGAAAGATGTATATTCCTTCAGATTCCTTGTGACATTTTATATGCTGCGTCAATGTTGATGGTGGGTGGGTCCTTATCTTCTTTTCTCTCTCTTTTTTATTTGAAAATATTATCCCTTATTTCTTTTTTACTTTGATCTTATCCTAAATATTTTTTGTCCTAAGCCTGATCCACTGCCACTACCATTATACCATACCAGCCCATAGATTTTCCCGCAAGGCGGCAAGCTCGGTTAGTGAGATATTTTCCTTAATTAACGGTGGGACCTACTTATGTCTATATTTGTATAGATTAATTACGTTGATTTTTACTTGCTATAGAGTATAGACTACTTTTAAAGGCCAAAGAGACACACAAGCAAAAAACAAAAGAAAAGGTGAAAGAGACATAAGTTGGTGTCGGATGTATGTTCAGAAAAAAAAAAAATGGTGTCGGATGTATGCTCAGAAAAAAAAAATGGTGATGTATATATCCGTTAAGCGCCCTGCATAATTTCTGCAAACGAGAAAGATTAAGCTGTATCTGCTCATGGTATATACGTGACAAATATATCTTCGTACAAGTAAGTTTTATGATCTTGTCAAGGTCTAGAAATTAGATTATTTGTCACACGGAGAGACTTTGGGGGCTTGGGGCCATTGCCATTCGTTAAGGCTATATTATATGAACACGTCCTGAGCTTTTTGAATTTAATAATTTAATCTTTATCTTTTTTTTTAGTAGTCAAGTTCTAAAATTTTTAATTTTTATTGTTCAAATTCGTTAAAATTTTGATAGTTTTTTTTGTGCCAAACTTACATGTGACATTCTAAAAAGAGTATTGATGATATTTTTGAGTTTAAGTTATAATTAAATTAAGCTCAAATTTTTAAATGTATTTGTATTGAAACTAAATAAAAATGCACATTAATGCCGTTATTAGGCTATCATATGCAAGTTAGGTGCAAAAAAAAGTCAAAATTTTAATAAATTTAAACAACAAGGGTTAAAAGCTAAAAGTTCAGAGTGTTAATTGCGAAGAAAAAAATTTAAAGACTAAATTGCCAAATTCGAGAAGTGCAAGTGGTGTTCGTATAAAATAGCCATTCGTTAACAGCATACTGGTTCAAGAACACTATTCACACGTTGAATTTATATTCATATCACATCCACCTTAAGTAATTGCGGTCCACCACTATAACCATATCCAATCATTTTAGTATTAACAAAAGATTAACGAATTAAAATTAATAGATATAGTTTATAAGTTTTCTCGTCACGCAGAAAATTAAAGTAAGGAAAAAAATCATATATAATATTTACATACAGAGAAAAAATGATGCAACGTCTTTATATTAACTAACGTAAAGAATTAATATACATATTACATGAATCATTTCTTACATATTGAAATATTACGTTTATTTAAACACATTCTCGTAAAGAATAAATTTTCTGTGTTCACATAAAAGCGAACAATATCAATCAGTTAAATCAAATAATTTACATGCAGTTCAGATCATCCTTAGTTATGTCCACCAACGTTGTTAGAAACAGCATTGAAAGTCCTCGTGAAAGTGGTTGGCACGGGCCTGATCCAATCTTTGGCATCAATCCAGTCCTTGGTCAAGAATGGTTCAGCTTCTTGAGCAGTAAGATTACGTGCCCATTTTACTCTTTTAGACGTCACTGCCCCGGGTCCGTAACACTTATATTGCCCATAAAATACCGTACTACAACATAAATTAAAAACCAGCAAGAAAAATAATCAGTTAATTTGTATGCTTCATGTGTAAGATATAGAGATCATCAAAATTCTAGCTCAGCTCTGGAGATTTCTCGTTTAATCTTCATACCACATAAAAAATGGTTGCGTAGTTTATAAGAATGAGATGATTCAAATTGTTTTGACTGCAGACACATTTTGTGAATGTATAACTGTGACATTTCTTTTCTTTTCTCTTTTTTAAAAAAAAAAAAAAAAAAGATAAGATAGATTTACTATTAGATTATGTCTGCAATCATTGTAACTAACATCTTTTCTTGGACCAATCAAGTGAAATTAATGGTTATAATACAAATTTTGTACGTAGTACTAGCAAAACTGCAAAAGAGTGATACCTTTGTTTGGATGAGTCTCCCCAGTCTTCCCAACCTTGGGGAAGTATAACATTAGACATATAACTCAAGGCAAACACGACCCTAGAATAGTCGCCCCACGGCCTTCCGAGCATGGCCGTCCTCGTACCAGTGATGGTGCAGCCCAAGAAGGTGAAACCAGTGTCCTCCGAAGGAGACTCCCTCCGTTGGGCCGTAATAGCTCCAGTTCCTTCAGCAAGCGAATGAATATGGCACTTCTGCAAAAACCATAATAAAAACAGAAAAAAAAATGTCGTAAGACACAAATATATAACATCCAATTTAAATGGTCTATATATCTTTGTTAATTTCGATATTCATGGTATTGGTACCTCAAAGAGAGAAGCAGCGTTTCCGCAAATGAAGTCGGTGCCGCCTTGGATGTAGCAGCTTTTGTAGTAATGCCTGCCGGTGTCGTCAAGAAGGGTATCTTGATAAGATATGATTCTGCAGCCGTAGAACGCCGCTCTATCTGCTGATACCCACAACGCCACCGCTTTCCCACCTGATCCATATGTGTTCTGTAATTGAACAGCAAATATATTCATTGTATAACTTGTGTTAATTTCCAGGGAAGCAATATATATATATATATATATATATATATTCATTGCGTATCTGTATTATATATTCTGTAACACCTTTATGTGAAAGTCAATGGCAGTCTCCTATCCTACTCAAGCATAAGAGCATCCCAAAAGAGATATCTAAATTTTAGCTAAATTCTAACTCAAATAATTAAAAAATTATTTTAACTAGCAACTTTTTAAATGAGCCACTCTAATCATACTCTTTATTTTAGCTAAATATAAATTATTTTTATATTTTTTTGAGTTTAAAATATAAATAACTTTTTTTTTTTAACTTTTATGTTATGTCAAAACAAAGAATAAAATAATAAAAAGAACAAATAGTTAGCCACTCTTGCTATCTATATTTAACTAGCTTTAGTCAAAATAACTAATCATATAGCTAATAGTAGGAGTGAAGAAAAGCTAAATCATTAGCTATTTTGACTAAAAACATGAAACGACTAGTATGGTTGGAGTTACTCTAAAAGCATCTCCAAGGAAGCTCGCTAAATTTTAGCTAAATTCTACCTAAAATGGTTAGAAAGCTATTTTAACTAGCAACTTTTTAAGTAAATCACTCCGACCATTCTCTATTTTAGCTAAACATAAATATTTTAATATTTATTAAATTTAAAATATAAATAACTTTATTGAGTTAAAAAAAAACTTGTGCATTTATTATAGTTAGAAGAATAAAAAGATACAAAAAAATGAAATAGCCAGCCTCTGCATGCTAGCTATATTTAGCTAGTGTGGATGACATTCTCTAAAAAGACTAATCATTTAGTTAATAGTTGGAGTGGAGAAAAGTTAAAAAAAAAACTAAATCATTAGGTATTTTAGCTAAAAATATGAAATAATTAGCATGATTGAAGTTGCTATAAGTATTAATAGTTAAAGACTAATTGTCCGCTTATCTCAGTTAGTATTTATATATATATATATATATATATATATGTTAATAGTTGGAGTGGAGAAAAGTTAAAAAAAAAACTAAATCATTAGGTATTTTAGCTAAAAATATGAAATAATTAGCATGATTGAAGTTGCTATAAGTATTAATAGTTAAAGACTAATTGTCCGCTTATCTCAGTTAGTATTTATATATATATATATATATATATATACAAAAAATG